CATCGATTGGTAATCTGTTTCTCTTCCGCCTTAGGGCGGTCGTCAGACACGGCTCAGGTGGCACTCCCATTAGGATCGGTAAAGTATTCGTATCGCCCTTGTTTCCTGCTAATGTTAACCACTTTTTTGTTTTCGTTTTAAATAGCTTAAATTGATAGATAGTTACATTGGACTCTGATATATATTTTATGTCTTACCAGAGATGGTCTTTTCCTCCCTTCTATGTAGGATGCACTTTATGTAAGCATTCAACATCTAAGCTGCCTAATTGAGGATGTACTAGTTTAGGCAGGGAAATCGGGTTACAAGCGTATTATGATACAGGACGATGTATATACATTAAGGACTTACGCAATAAACTCCATTATGATGATGTCGTCGTTGTAAGAATTGATTTCTAGCATATAGGCCATTAACAGATTTTCGCAGTTGGGGATTCTTGTAAATAATCTGTTAGTGATCTTTGCACATACGGGTATATAGTAACCACGGAACAGGCTAGCAGAGAAACAGACAAACACAAACACTCTTTCTCTCTCTCTCTCACACACACACGCACACGCACACGCACATCTATATATATATATATATATATATATATATATATATATATATATATATATATATTATATATATATATATATATATATATATATATATATATTATATATATATATATATATTTATCTATCTATCTATCTATTTATTTATCTTTCTTTCATTGTCACTGTGAAGAGCAAAGACTGATTGACGAAATATTTTGGATTTTTATCCAAGTGTAATTACGTGCACCAAGTTGTTCATTGGGCAGAAGTTTGGATGATGTCACTGAAATAAGTTTGCTGAAACATTGACTTTGTGCAGAGAGAGAACTAGTTACCATACAAGGTCATGAGCTCGCAAAGTGCAAAGCAATTATGATATGTCATTGATATATACACTTCATTTACATTTTTTCATAAAAATAATAGCATTATTTCCTACAGTAAAATTTTCTCAGTCTGTTCTTGCCAGTGTTGACTTTATAAGAACAAACGAATGGTGGATAAAAAGAACAAATGATGAGAGAGAAGGGGGACAGGAAAAGATTTTTTTTTTTTTTTTTTTTTTTTTATTCAAGACATTTACAATCTGTAATGTAAATATCAAGGTGATATTCCATACCTGTATTTACATGCTACTAAGAAGGTCATATTCATTACTGGCTTTTTTCTTGCTTTTATATAATGCAAAGTGGCATTCTGCAAAGCCTCCAGCAAAATAATGCTATATTTCATTTGCAGCTCCAAACAAACTGTGCAAATTATCATCATCCTATTCAAAAAGCTAAACCCAAATGACACCAAAGTTGGAGTCTATATTGGTACTGATAAATATTATATAACTCTTGATAAGAAAAGAAATTAAAGAAAGAGAGAGAGTTTCCTAACACACAAGTGAAAAATCTACCACTTTAATACTAATAAAAAAAAAAAATATTGTGTTTGTCAAACCAAACTTTCTTACTTTCTATACTGTTTACTGTTGCTTTCTGGTAGTCACATCTAACAAATTAACATGCAAGAATTTATTAAGATTTACCCAAAGAACCAACTCTTCAGTAACATAAACTCTATCACATTCTAATTATGCTACTCTGGAAAGTAACATATGTACATATAAAAAATACTAACACTTTCTCCTATAACTGGTTCTAGACACAGTCAATAATGCTAATAAATGTAGGAAAATTTATAAATGGAGAAAAGACAGAAAGGGACAGCATTTATGATTATATATCTATCAGCACACAAATGTGTAATGTACACATTTTCATTACATGAAGATCTGAAAAGTTAAACAACATTTTCAATGATACTTATTATTTTACTGATCACAGTCCATATACTATGACTAAAATTGCAATACTTAGGATGTTGATTATGCAAAATACATTAAAACAATATTATACAAATTTCTTGATACAACTTTCTTTGTACCACTAGCCAATAATAATCAAATTAAATTTTTTCCATTTTTCCTCAGAATGCTTTTGGAAAGTGGTTTTCACAAATTCTATTAGGGTATGTAATCTGAAGACGTCCTTCTTACACACTTCCATACACAGTTTCTATACTGAAAACTGGCCCAATTTTCAAGTAACATACATTTAGAAGAATATTGGATCTATGGCCAACTTTTCACATAAAAACCACGTACACACACACACACACTTATGCATATATATATACATTATATATATATATATATATATATATATATATATATATATATATATATATATATATATATATATATATATATATATATATATATATATATATATATATACACATTATATATATATATATATATATATATATATATATATATATATATATATATATATATATATATATATATATATATATATATATATATATATATATATATATATACATTATATATATATATATATATACATTATATATATATATATATATATATATATACATTATATATATATATATATATATATACATTATATATATATATATATATATATATATATATATATATATATACATTATATATATATATATATATATATATATATATATATATATATATATATATATATATATATATATATATATATATATATATATACATTATATATATATATATATATATATACATTATATATATATATATATATATATATATATATATATATATATATATATATATATATATATATATATATATATATATATATATATATATATATACATTATATATATATATATACATTTTATATATATATATATATATATATATATATATATATATATACATTATATATATATATATATATATATATATATATACACATTATATATATATATACATATATATATAATATAAATATATATATGTATATATATATTGATACTTATTATCAACACAAAACCTATATCATGTGCTTTATAACAAACACAACCTCTTCCAAATTTAAGATTAAACTCACTAGCCAAACTCTACCTACAATTTCAAAAAGACAAGAACAAGGTTGTCTTTTTAATTATTCATAAAAGAGAAATGTCCAACCCAGTTATGAAGAAAAGTACTGCTCAGTAATTTTTTTTTTAAATTTTATCATTAGTATTGCTAATGATATGTAATTGAATTATTAATTCAAAATACTGACATTCTGGCAAATTACAGAAATTTAGTCTATAAAATAGAAATAGAAACAATTTTCCTGAAAAGAGAACCACTTGATAGACATGCACCTTTATTGCTTATATAATGGCAATGATCCTCCATATTAAAATAAAATGAATTAAGATTGCATAGCAAACAGCCTCCTATGATGTATCAATTCAGATCAATGCAAACTCAGACAAAGGTCAATTATCACAAATGCAAATCAAAAGTGCTGTGAAATTCTATCCACAGAAAAAATGTTGAAGCCAGACAGTGATTATTATGCATTACGCAATGCAAATATGTACCTGCCCCATATTCCATGTTTTGAAAGATTTACATCTGTTCAAGACGATAAAAATCAAGTCTTGGGTGTATCAGGAATGCTTAAGTCATACTTATCCCCAGTATCATGTATTATATGGGGCAAATAAAAATAAAAAGAAAGAAATTAATCCCCCCAAAAAAACAAAAAACAAACAATTTGACAGAAAAATCTACGAAAAAGGTGCACTCTACAGATTGCTACCAGGTTTTACGAAATATTTACGATATTGTTACCATACCTGTTTTCACAGTTATTAGAAGTGAAATACAAGACACCACCTGCTACAACACTTCTATAGCAACTGTTATCTAAAAACTTTTTGATGGCTACTCTAATATTGAGGGCAATATTGGAGCTAAAACGTTTGAAACATTCAAAACATTAAGTGTAACAAATCTGCATTTTGATTTATGTATCTGAAATCCTGCACTTAAGTAATGCAGACATGATCATTATCCATCCCTAGTCCTTTTCCTGAGTAGTAGCTTCATGTACATATAACACTCCAAAGCAATTTGTACTGTTTTCATTCGTTCATCATAGAAAGAAACAAGAAATCTGAAATACAGTACTTCACTTTCCAAATGCTGCTGCTTGCAAATATTTAAATACCTTGCCTTTTATTAATGTCATACTCCTTTTATTTTATATGCATCATATATCAGACCTTGTAAACACCATGGCCATGCACCCCTGCACACAAAAAATCTCTTTTATGACAAAAAAAGAATATACAAGTTTCTCCCTATTTTTTTTTCCTAAATTAAAATAACAAAAAACAAAACAAACTAAAATTCAATCCTACATTGATGGTCCCAAGAAGCATTACAGCCTAAAAAATAAAAAAAATAAAAAAGAATCGTAACTAACATTTATACAACCATACAAATATGGCATAGCTCCTCCAGTGTAATGAGCACAAGGGATATGAAGTTAGGCTGACCCAAAAATTCTCTATAAGCCACCCTTTGTATACCTCACTTGGTCTTTATGCATATGTTACTGTAACTCACGTATACCTCAGCTTTAATTAGTCTTTAGCTATGTAAGATAATAGTGCTTAATTATATTCTCAGAAAGATGATACTCTATTTTATTATTTCTGTAGAAGTTCTATATATGTATATTTTATTTCACTAAGATTAGGAAACTGTAAAATATAATAGTTTACTTTGTTTTCTTTGCTGCCCCCACAATACATTCTCTTTGTTTAAAGGGTAGGCTGTTATATTTTTAATCAATATGAATTAATTTTGTTGCAGGAGAGATTCATTTAAGTTCTGGAATTATGCATGTATGGATTAAGAAGAACCATATACTTGTAATATATGTGACCTGATTAGACATTAAATTTTGAAGTATATACAGAGTTAACTCTGATACTATAACCCTAACCAGAGAGAGAGAACAGAGAGGAGTGCCATTTAACAGCCTGAAAGTGTTTAGATTATCTTGAAATACCAGAGGTAAGAAAAAGCATTCAGTTGTAATAATATCATTAATAAAATCATAAAATACAAGAGATCTGATTTACAGAACAAAAGCAAAGTAATTAATTGAGATCATACTGGAAAATAGAGATAAAGTTAATGTCTTCTTCACAGTTAATGGCTGCCACATGGCACTTGGGCACCGTCCAGACAATTCTCTTATTATTACTGAGAGTTTAAAACCCACTCAAAGTAAGTGTTTTTGTAATTTATAGAATAATATTAAAATGATGGTTTAGGCAAAATTACTGTCATGTGCATATAACTACTCAAGACTGTATATAATGGCATAAACATTATACATAATTTGCTTGTTTTTCACTATAAGAGATAATTAAGTTAAATTAGAAAATTTTATATCACTTTATCATTCCTAAAGTAGAATAATTGATTCTTAGATTTTTAGGAATGGGTTTTTTGTTGCTTTGATTTTTTGTCCTTGGTGCTGTGGACAAAAAGTAAAGAAGATATCATCTATGAACTGATGAAGAGAAGATAAAAAGAAATTTGAGAAAACTGATCTATAAAGGTGAAAGACCAAAGAAGGATTACCAGTGAAAAGAGTGGCAGCTTGGACTACACTCATTTGGAGAAAGTTTTGACATTTTGTTGATGAAATGCTTTTGGTTGTGAAAGTGTAATGATTTATGATTCAATATATCAGGAAATGATGTAAGCTCATTAACTGTTTTGATATTACCCTTCTCTCAATTACCTCTAAGGCTGAAGTTATATCATAAGTAACCAAAGTTATTATTATTTCTTTATGGTGTGGGTTCCAAAGCTATAACTATCTTTTGAAGAATCCACACTTGGTGATAAAAGATAGTGCCCCCTCTGGATGAAGTCTGAGTGGTTCCCAGAGTTAAGGGAAATAGTGTCTTTGCTAAAGAGAAAAGGGGGCGGGCGCACTATAACACCAACTATAATTTTTCTAAAATGTATTTATAGGTGTCAGTTTTACGTACTCTCCTTTTAAAATTCACTTTATTCTATGATTCTAAAGACTTGAATTAAAAGAACATAATAAAAACTACTCTTTAAATAGAATTTAAAGGGGTCAATGTAAATTAATAAAAAAACCTTTAATACCTTATATATAAAATAACAATGCTGCCCAACACAACAGTATAGCTAAATAAAGTTTCATATTAGCTAGCTAAGAAGAAGTCTGAATGTATAAAGCTCCATGGGCTGTAAGGACAAAGTGTATGATTTTGTCATGTCAACGCCTTCATACAACATAGATAACGACATCTGGTGCACCTGCTCACTGAACATGTTGGGGAACACCTCTGACAAGCGAACCTGGAATGTAAATTTGTCTTTTTTAATAACCAGGAAAATAAATTCAATTTTCATTATTCTAAAAACATGTTTTCTGTTAACATAATTTAGAAATAGTTTGTTCATAAAAAATGCAATGAAATGTATAGAGAAGTTGTTTTTTTTTAACTTGCCTCAAAAGTTATACATCTGGTGTATATTATTGGTATTTAACAGTGTGTCTCTCATAGGTACTCACACTGGTCACAAGGGTAATATGGGTAGACTTGAATGATGGGAAATTGAGAACTCACTTTGAACAAGAGTTTTTTGCTGAATACTAATACTTTTTATGTTGCTATGATGTTGGTTCATATCTGAACTTTCAATCTAGCTATTACGTATGTTATAAATGATGAAGGTGATCTTCTGACATGATATTCCTCTGATTTTGAAAGAATGCCTTTATATTTTGTCCAGCAAATTCAAATTCTATGTCCTTCATCTCAGTGAATGCCACCTACATTCCTAATAATAGGTCCATTAAACAAATAATAAAACTCTGTCTTTACCTTTCCTCCTTTGTAGAGCAGAAAGTCCCTGGGATTTCAAACCGCAGTCAAAGCCAGACGATGCAGTGTGAGGGATGTGGTCTTGCCGCAGATGTTGCAATCTCTGAGCACCTGTAGTACTTGGAGGGTCTAGCATGGTGCTCAAGTTGACCATGTGGACATCACAAGGCAGTTCTCCAAATTGAGAACTCACTTTGAACAAGAGTTTTTTGCTGAATACTAATACTTTTTATGTTGCTATGATGTTGGTTCATATCTGAACTCTCAATCTAGCTATTACGTATGTTATAAATGATGAAGGTGATCTTCTGACATGATATTCCTCTGATTTTGAAAGAATGCCTTCATATTTTGTCCAGCAAATTCAAATTCTATGTCCTTCATCTCAGTGAATGCCACCTACATTCCTAAGAATAGGTCACATTAAACAAATAATAAAAACTCTGTCTTTACCTTTCCTCCATTTGTAGAGCAAGAAAGTCCCTGGGATTTCAAACTGCAGTCAAAGCCCAGACGATGCAGTGTGAGGGATGTGGTCTTGCCGGCAGGATGTTGCAATCTCTGAGCACCTGTAGTACTTGGAGGGTCTAGCATGGTGCGCAAGTTGACCATGTGGACATCACAAGGCAGTTCTCCACCAACAGACCAAGATGAGTGCATGGGGCCCACCTATGGAAAATGTTTGAGAAAAAATGTAGGTAAAACTCCATGCAAAACAAAATACAATATTTTTTAGTTATAAAAACTTTTAGTCAGAATATGAAGTAAAACCTGTAAGACATTAGGTGTATATGATACATCGTGATATTATAATATCTATTCCTATCTTCAGCATGTACATAGTGTTGTCATGCTTCACCTTTCCAAAACTCATTCTAATTATAATTTAGAAATTAGGAGAATCAAAAATATCAATAACATGAGCACTTGATGACATAGCAAATGCACCTTATCCTGCAACACAAAAGGAAAATCTTGATTGCTTCTCACCTTAGACACTGGTATCAGAGAGTAGACTGGGTAGAGAAGGGTGTTGGTTGCTGCATGAGCCACAAGAGATGGGAAGGCTGCAGGACCATCATGAGCTGGACCAGATTCCTGCAGCAATATTGCACTCATTAACTTGGAAATGATTACACTTGTTTGTTTCTATTATAATACTATGTATCATTACCATCATTATAAAAAAAATACTTTTAGGTGACAAGTTATGACTCTAAATGGTCTAGTAAACATAAGAGCTGCAAACCTTGGTGGAGATCCTTGGTTCTACCAAAAGACGGAAGTTATTGGCAGTGTGAAGATTGTCTAGGATCCCCTGGCCAAGACCTCGGTTGTCATCCTGGTTTAGGCGGCGATCCATCATGATCTAATTAATGAGAGAGAGAAAAGGGTGTGAGAGAGAGAGTAAACTTGAAGTACATGCTTTAGTATCCTGTATAGATCTCCATAATTACAGAAAAATATAAAGCCTAGAACATATTGTACTTACCTCCAGCTGTCCACTTTGTAAGGAGGCGCCACCAAGAGGCTGAGCAGATATGAGAGAGAGGCGGAAATCTTTGTCCTGGATGAAAGCTTGCGATGGAATTGGGTAGTAGTTTGCTTGCAGGGGTAGCTTTGCGTACCTCACTCGCTTGATAATCTGGTAATGAAGGGATATTATGGAGTTTGTAAAATAAATCCTTGATAGATGTAGCCATAAAGCAAAATATACACATACAGAAAAAGAGAAAAAGTGAGTGAGTGAGGGAGTGTGTGAATATGTGTCTATCTACTGGTTGGGTGTGTGCTTATGAATAACAAGACACAAGACCAAGCAAAAGAGAGAGAAAAAGAAAGAAAGAAAGAAAGAAAGAAAGAAAGAAAGAGGGAGAGAGAGAGAGAGAGAGAGAGAGGGAGGGGGGAGGGGGAGAGGGAGAGAGAGAGAAAGAGAGAGAGAGAGAGAGAGAAAGAGAGAAAGAGAGAAAGAGAGAAAGAGAGAAAGAGAGAAAGATATATATATATATATATATATATATATATATATATATATATATATATAGAGAGAGAGAGAGAGAGAGAGAGAGAGAGAGAGAGAGAGAGAGAGAGAGAGAGAGAGAGAGAGAGAGAGAGACAGAGAGAGAGAGAGAGACAGAGAGAGAGAGAGAGAGAGAGAGAGAGAGAGAGAGAGAGAGAGAGAGAGAGAGAGAGAGAGAGAGAGAGAGAGAGAGAGAGAGAGAGAGAGAGAGACAGAGAGAGAGAGACAGAGAGAGACAGAGAGAGACAGAGAGAGACAGAGAGAGACAGAGAGAGAGAGAGAGAGAGAGAGAGAGAGAGAGAGAGACAGACAGAGAGAGAGAGAGACAGACAGAGAGGAAAAAAGACACGACACAACACACAGACATACATGAACACCTTAAAAGCCAACAATTTGAGAGTTTTCACCGAATCTTATATTTTTTCAATGTATAGAATATACTAGACTTACTGATGTAACACTACTTTACTTTACTGTATTTTACAATATAAAATATCTGACAAGAAAAGCTTATATAGATTGTAAAGAATTAGCGTGCACAAGTATTCCCATCTAGAAAGGCATGGAATTTCCTATACTCTCAGTCTAGGGGGTCAGAGACTGTGGATCTTAAGTGTAAATATGTTTGTGTATATCCACCTGCAGGTGTATTTGTATCCATATATATGTGTTTGTGTTCAACTGAATGATTGTTTGCTGATGTGTGTCTGCACATACCTGTTAATATATGTGAAAACAAAATCATAGCCACGTGTTTTATAACTTAGACTAACCTGGAATCCATTCAAGTCTGTGTAAAATATATTATCATTCTTTACTCCTGTGTTTAGCCTCATGGCAAACTCGAAATTGTGCTCTGCAGTGATGTCAACATGATTACTGATGTCAAGTCCAATGCCATCAACACCTGAGCACAAAAGAGAAATAAACATATACATTCACATATATACATTTGTTGTTACTGATAAAGTAGTACATATGATTCAACTGAAAAGAAACATATAAGCATTATGAATATATAGGAGACATTAACACATGGGAAAATAAACACCACAAAGAAAAAGAAACAACTGAATACCTGGGGAATTCTTGATCTTGACAACATGATGGACATTTTTCAACTGGATGAACACAGTTGACATAAGAGGTCCCTTGATGAGCATAACGCCAGCCCTACCTATGTCAACTGGCACTGCCTCCTTGTCTGGCAGGAACAAGTATGCACCACTAGTCTCCCGATTATTCCTGGGATATCACAGAATGATAAATATGTGACTGTTATTATTATTATTATTATTATTATCATAATTATTATTATAGCTACTACTATAATTTACAGTAATTTTAAAAAAGACAAGCTAAATCTTGGGGGAAATGTTATTTTGCATCTATTTCTAGACCCTGCATATCCATATTACTAGGCATGTATTTCAGTACCAACAACTCAAGTGTTAATGTCAAATAATCATACTTGACTCCATATTTAACAAATTCCAAAGAGACTGGAATTGTCTGTCCTTGTGTTGTCACCGCCTGGAGTAAGCCATTACTGCTAAATGTAGCTTCGACTTGATCTGTCTTCACTGAAAATGGGTTGGTGTCCTTTTCCTCGATTACAGTGAAGACACTTGGTACTGTGGGTGCTCCCGTGTGGCGCACAATCACATCAGAGAACATGACCATCCTGTCAATGCAATATTTATTAATTACTTTTTCAAAAATTTAATTTTTTCCCATCTTATATCTAGATGTATACTTCAGATATATAACTGATAACAGCTGCAACTTCTGATATATAAAATAGGAGAAACACAGAAGATGATGTGCAAGAGATGAGAGGTGTGAGATGCTAAATCAGACTGAGATAAAGAGATGAAAGGAGAGAAAAGACACACTTAACATACTTGGGGTTAACAGTTCCTGGTTCTCTGGCTTTAATAGTGTATGTCATAAGTGACACAGCTGGTACATCAACCAAGAAAGTGATGTCAAACATGGTCTGCGATACTTCTGATTTAAGGAAGACAGGATCCACCTGACATGGCACAGTTTTCTCCTTGCTATCAATTATCTGAAAAAGTAGTTTAAATGGTACTTATCAATTTAATGCTTAGTCATCCCATGGGGGGAAAAAATCAGAATCTAAGAACAAAGAAGATTGATAAATCTATATCAGATTTTTTTCTTTTCTTTTTTTTTCAATGGAAACTATAACATACTCAAAGAAGAAAAAGTTGCATAAGTGACCAAAGGCTTATAAAAATTCACTCAATGTTTACATAACTATGATCACGACTATATCTATCTCTTTACAGAAGGTTTAAACTGGCTTCTAGCTTACTTCCACATATGGACTTGATGTTCTAATTGTGAAGAGCTCCTGACGGCGCTGTGCGAGTGGGTTGTAGATGACGATTGGCACTGATGAACCATCTCTTAGTGCCACAATCATGTGTGAAGCGAGCTTGTTGTGCTCCAGGAATTTCTCCCCTAATTCATAGTACACTGATCCTGCATTGGCATTATAACTCCGCTGAAAATAATGCAATGGATAGTGGATATTAAATACTAAATCACTGTAAATACAGTGCATCTCTTATTTCATTCACTTATTTATGCATTTATTATTTATTTTACTATTCATTGGTGTGTGTGTGTGTGTGTGTGTGTGTGTGTGTGTGTGTGTGTGTGTGTGTGTGTGTGTGTGTGTGTGTGTGTGTGTGTGTGCGCGCGCGTGTAAGTGTAAGTGTGTGTGTGCGTGTAAGTGTAAGTGTGTGTGTGCGTGTAAGTGTGTGTGTGTGCGTGTAAGTGTGTGTGTGCGTGTAAGTGTGTGTGTGCGTGTGTAAATGTGAGTGCGTGTGTAAATGTGAATGCGTGTGTAAATGTGAGTGCGTGTGTAAATGTATGTAAATGTGTGTGTGTATTTCCATTCATACAGTTATAAAAATATTACTTCATTAATAAAAATCATTCATTAATTTAAGTCTTACCTGTTCAAATGAAAGAAGATAATGTGCTGCCTGCTGAATCACATGCTGGCAATTATGGATACTCTCCAACATTCTGAAATATAAAAAGTTAAAGAGGTAACTAAAGAAGCCTGTCTGGATAAATAAACTCCATGTGCATATCCATATGTATTTACATATTATATATACAAAAAGAAATGCTTGCATACAGGAGATAATTTTTTGATTCCTTGATAATACTTACAAAAATAAAATTCATTATCATATTTCACACCTAACATCTGTTTGGATCTGCTCAGAGTATCATGCTAATTTTCTGTTACTGAACGAGTTACATTTCTCTTTCCATTCACAAGCAACAAAAAAATTTATTTGCTGACAGAAAATGCTGTTGTTAACAAGCTCTGTATGACTGTACTCACTTCTTTGCATAATCCACAACAACATGATCCTTAGCAGTTCCAGTAATGCCGTCATGATGCTGGAAGAGAGCCAAATTTCTGCGAGCCACCACCAAACGAGACATCAGGAGGTTTGCTAACTCCGGCATTGGGGTGTTTATTGCACTCTGACTTCCTAGCATTGAGGAGTACAAGATCTCAGCACCTCTGAAACAGAAAGAAAAAAAAAAGTATTAGCACTTCCTTTAGAGATCATTAATACAGAATCTCTTTCGTGTAAGTGTAAGTGTGTGTGTGCGTGTAAGTGTGTGTGTGCGTGTAAGTGTGTGTGTGCGTGTAAGTGTGTGTGTGCGTGTAAGTGTGTGTGTGCGTGTAAGTGTGTGTGTGCGTGTAAGTGTGTGTGTGCGTGTAAGTGTGTGTGTGCGTGTAAGTGTGTGTGTGCGTGTAAGTGTGTGTGCGTGTAAGTGTGTGTGCGTGTAAGTGTGTGTGTGCGTGTGTAAATGTGAGTGCGTGTGTAAATGTGAGTGCGTGTGTAAATGTGAGTGCGTGTGTAAATGTGAGTGCGTGTGTAAATGTGAGTGCGTGTGTAAATGTGAGTGCGTGTGTAAATGTGAGTGCGTGTGTAAATGTGAGTGCGTGTGTAAATGTGAGTGCGTGTGTAAATGTGAGTGCGTGTGTAAATGTGAGTGCGTGTGTAAATGTGAGTGCGTGTGTAAATGTGAGTGCGTGTGTAAATGTGAGTGCGTGTGTAAATGTGAGTGCGTGTGTAAATGTGAGTGCGTGTGTAAATGTGAGTGCGTGTGTAAATGTGAGTGCGTGTGTAAATGTGAGTGCGTGTGTAAATGTGAGTGCGTGTGTAAATGTGAGTGCGTGTGTAAATGTGAGTGCGTGTGTAAATGTGAGTGCGTGTGTAAATGTGAGTGCGTGTGTAAATGTGAGTGCGTGTGTAAATGTGAGTGCGTGTGTAAATGTGAGTGCGTGTGTAAATGTGAGTGCGTGTGTAAATGTGAGTGCGTGTGTAAATGTGAGTGCGTGTGTAAATGTGAGTGCGTGTGTAAATGTGAGTGCGTGTGTAAATGTGAGTGCGTGTGTAAATGTGAGTGCGTGTGTAAATGTGAGTGCGTGTGTAAATGTGAGTGCGTGTGTAAATGTGAGTGCGTGTGTAAATGTGAGTGCGTGTGTAAATGTGAGTGCGTGTGTAAATGTGAGTGCGTGTGTAAATGTGAGTGCGTGTGTAAATGTGAGTGCGTGTGTAAATGTGAGTGCGTGTGTAAATGTGAGTGCGTGTGTAAATGTGAGTGCGTGTGTAAATGTGAGTGCGTGTGTAAATGTGAGTGCGTGTGTAAATGTGAGTGCGTGTGTAAATGTGAGTGCGTGTGTAAATGTGAGTGCGTGTGTAAATGTGAGTGCGTGTGTAAATGTGAGTGCGTGTGTAAATGTGAGTGCGTGTGTAAATGTGAGTGCGTGTGTAAATGTGAGTGCGTGTGTAAATGTGAGTGCGTGTGTAAATGTGAGTGCGTGTGTAAATGTGAGTGCGTGTGTAAATGTGAGTGCGTGTGTAAATGTGAGTGCGTGTGTAAATGTGAGTGCGTGTGTAAATGTGAGTGCGTGTGTAAATGTGAGTGCGTGTGTAAATGTGAGTGCGTGTGTAAATGTGAGTGCGTGTGTAAATGTGAGTGCGTGTGTAAATGTGAGTGCGTGTGTAAATGTGAGTGCGTGTGTAAATGTGAGTGCGTGTGTAAATGTGAGTGCGTGTGTAAATGTGAGTGCGTGTGTAAATGTGAGTGCGTGTGTAAATGTGAGTGCGTGTGTAAATGTGAGTGCGTGTGTAAATGTGAGTGCGTGTGTAAATGTGAGTGCGTGTGTAAATGTGAGTGCGTGTGTAAATGTGAGTGCGTGTGTAAATGTGAGTGCGTGTGTAAATGTGAGTGCGTGTGTAAATGTGAGTGCGTGTGTAAATGTGAGTGCGTGTGTAAATGTGAGTGCGTGTGTAAATGTGAGTGCGTGTGTAAATGTGAGTGCGTGTGTAAATGTGAGTGCGTGTGTAAATGTGAGTGCGTGTGTAAATGTGAGTGCGTGTGTAAATGTGAGTGCGTGTGTAAATGTGAGTGCGTGTGTAAATGTGAGTGCGTGTGTAAATGTGAGTGCGTGTGTAAATGTGAGTGCGTGTGTAAATGTGAGTGCGTGTGTAAATGTGAGTGCGTGTGTAAATGTGAGTGCGTGTGTAAATGTGAGTGCGTGTGTAAATGTATGTAAATGTGTGTGAGTATTTCCATTTGTACAGTTATAAAAATATTAATTCATTAATAAAAATAATTCATTAATTCAAGTCTTACCTGTTCAAATGAAAGAAGATAATGTGCTGCCTGCTGAATCACATGCTGGCAATTATGGATACTCTCCAACATTCTGAAATATAAAAAGTTAAAGAGGTAACTAAAGAAACATGTCTGGATAAATAAACTCCATGTGCATATCCACATGTATTTACATATATATACAAAAAGAAATGCTTGCTTACAGGAGATAATTTTTTGATTCCTTGATAATACTTACAAAAATAAAATTCATTATCATATTTCACACCTAACATCTGTTTGGATCTGCTCAGAGTATCATGCTAATTTTCTGTTACTGAACGAGTTACATTTCTCTTTCCATTCACAAGCAACAAAAAAATTTCTTTGCTGAGAGAAAATGCTGTTGTTAATGAGCTCTGTATGACTATACTCACTTCTTTGCATAATCCACAACAACATGATCCTTAGCAGTTCCAGTAATGCCGTCATGATGCTGGAAGAGAGCCAAATTCCTGCGAGCCACAACCAAACGAGACATCAGGAGGTTTGCTAACTCCGGCATTGGGGTGTTTATTGCACTCTGACTTCCTAGCATTGAGGAGTACAAGATCTCAGCACCTCTGAAAAAGAAAGAAAGAAAGAAAAAAAAAAAAAAAAATAGTATTAGCCCTTCCTTTAAAGATCATTAATATAGAATCTCTTTTTTTAATGAGATATCAAGGATGTAGCTCCTTTGTGAAATAGCAATAATATCTAATATCTGTTGAATCTCGGGAAAGGAAAAACTAGCAACTCACCCCAAGCTCTGGAGTCCTCCAATTCACTGTCACATTTTTATTCTAATCTGACTCTTAATGCTTGTCCTGGAGTAAGTCTAGATTTTTAAACTTATATACAATACACTTTCTATTGAAATTAATTATCATTGTGAAAGCAGATAAATAACAATTGTTTGGTTTATCACTGCCTTAAAAGAGGAATGGAAAGAATAGAATCAAGCATCAATGAAAAAGTAGAATACCAATAAAATATCACATAAAACTAACAGATTATAAAAGCTTGAAAAAAAGTTCGTGATGAGAGGAATAGAATCAGGCTCCATTATATATTTCATCAGAGCCACACCAAAACCTGATACACTCACCTTAGGTATCCTTCCAGTATGCGATCCAAAGCCTTGTGGAATGGTCGTGTAGTATAATAACCGCTCCAATAATGATCATCTCTGTCAGCATAAGTAAAGAAGTCTCCTGATAAGGTTGGGAAGACCCCCTGTTCCTCTCCTGCTGGCGAATCAGTCTCCTCATGCAGAGCACGGAAATAGTCCGCAAGAGTGCCAAATTGAGCCTGGAAATTTGATTCAAATCAAGCATTCTCAGCAATGTTGACATAACATTCCAATTATCAAATATATAAAATAACTGTCAAAGCACACCTCCTAACATAGGTCACACTTTGCAAAGACAAACTATGAAATTGAAATATTTTAATCTTTACCTGAACATGCAAATCCTCTCTGGAATTCATGTAATCAAACAGCTTCTGGTAATTGGTGTACTGGTTATCCCACTCTTCAGCACGTACATATCGGAAATCATCACCAAGGGGGACCAAGAGGACATTGCTGCGGAATAGCTGTGCTTTCTTGCGGTACTGGTCTAGGAGAAGCTCGGCCCTTGAATGGATCACAGATTCTTTGAGATTACGTCAACAAAATTTTTTTTCTCATTTAACAAGGTACTAAGTGCAAATTTCATGAGTAAAAAAAAAAAGAAGAGAGAGAGAGAGAGAGAGAGAGAGAGAGAGAGAGAGAGAGAGAGAGAGAGAGAGAGAGAGAGAGTATAGTGAGTGTGTGTGTTATCGGAACAAAGAGAATGAGAGAGAAAGAGAAGGAGAAAGAAAGAGAAATTAAAAGAAAGAGAAATTAAAAGAAAGAGAAGGAAAAGAATGAGAAAGAAAAAAAGAGGAGAAAGAGAAAGATTGAGAAAAAGGAGGAGAAAATTAGTGAAAGTAATAGAAAGAGAAAGAAAGGAAAGAAAAAGAGAGAGAGAAAGAGAGAGAAAGAAAGAAGAAAAAGAAATAGAGCTTGATTCTAACCTTGACTTCACATTGTAACTGGTAATAGGCTGTGGGGGAACTCTCCATGGGCAAGTAACACCAGATCCTGACATTCGCAGAAAATCAAACTGGCAGCAAATCTTAGGGTCAGGACCACAAGTATGGGGTATGTCGTAGCTGTAGAAGGGCATCATGTGGCAAAACATATCTGATGACGAACCTGTGTCTGAAAGTGATAACTCTATGTAAGATTGATGTGCTAAAAACTTTCTAAAATAAAAAAAAAGAAAAAAAGAAAAGAATATTAATTTTTCAAACTACAGTCCAGTCTTTTTCATAACACTGAATGTGACTGTAACATACTTAAAGGAATCCTTACCCCAGATCTGTCGCCACTTAAACTCTAGGCTCTTTTCCCTCGCCAAGTGCTTCTTCACAGAGTAATGCACGCGTTGGATAAGCATATTCTCCAGGCCCATGCGCTTCAGCAGGTAGGCCATGGTGGGAGTCATACCAAATGGATCTATGGCCCAGCCATTGCTACAAAATAAAATCACAAGAATATCATTAATCAACATGTGGGTAACAAAAATCTCATTTTAAGAGACAATATATAAAAATCCTATAATATAAAAAAAAAAAACTTAAGAGACGATGTATAACAATGCTACAATGTAAAAAATAATCTTTATTAATGACTTAAAAGAGGAATAAATCCTAAAAGTCTGGACACTTACTTTGGCTTGATTCCAAGGTTAAGTCTAACCCACTCATGCCCTTCAACCATCTGTTCCAACATAGCAAAGTAATGGGTATTTGCCTCGTCATTCATCACCCATCCACCAGTTACTATTTCCAGCTGACCACGATCTGCTAGGCTGCAAAGAAAAAACAGTAACAATAAATAATCAAAATACAATTAAATAAACTTAAAAAACCATACAGAAATATTAAAATTATGTGAAACAAGAAGTTAAAAGTACCTTACCAATAGAACTATTTCATAGCCAATGTTTCACCAGTTATTTCATAAAATAAAAGCCTTTTAGAAGTGGTTCTATTGCCCAAGCCTTCACACATACACACATGACTCCACAATATACTGCAAATAACAGCTCACAAACTATTCTACAGCTAAATACCTCACCTTCTTACAACATCCTTGACACTTTCAGGCTGCTGATCCCACCACATGGAGAGGTAGGACATTTCAGCCCAAATAAACTTGCGTCGCTGATCCTGCGGTAACCTCTGTACCATATGATCGAGTATATGTCGTGTTTGATCGCTGAAGTACTGCTCTACAGTTTTGATCCAACCTTGATTTGAGATAATATTGCATAACATTAACACAATGAAAAACTTTGAAAATCCTCTTCCACTTATTTTGTATGTACATAATCAAAATGCAAAGAAATAAACAAGAAAATAAACAATTATGTATTTGGAAGAAATCAATATGTAGATAACATCATAAACAGAAATAAAGGCAGAAATGAGGAAAATATATATATATATATATACAATACAAACATACATTAAAAAGTATTGTAATCTTATAGTGTCACAGAAAGGGTTAGGGGGACTGCTGGTGGAATTCTTCCTTCATTATCATTTTTAATTACTAAAATATTAATAAAAAATGTATGATTAGTGCATCATTGGATAATCACAAATTCATACAAAGGGAGTGTACAGGGCTCTCAAGGAGACAATACACTACACAATTTAACCATGTATTTCTACTTAGCACTGATCTATAATTCTATGATCAAATGCTGAACAACTCAAAATGTGGCACTTTTTGGCACATTATATAATTGCACCACTTGTGGAACTTACATAAAGGCCAGGAACACATCAGCTGACAACATTTCTATCTCACCATTCTAAGGTGCACACTGAGACAATTGCTTTGTGCTTCAGAGGCATATCTGCATGATTTTTTTTTTTATCTACTATAATACTTATGTTTGACCTCACTCCCTTAGCTATTAGATATATTGAAACAATGGCAATTTGTTCAATTACTTCTTGGCACCACATCTCAAAATGATAGTTTATCACACATTCTTTGAAATAAGTCCATTGCTATATGAGCAATTTTAAGGGGATATATAATTTTGAAGAGCAGACACATTGTGATTTTCCTACCATTAAGAATTTTCATGTCATTTTAAAACTGATCTCCCTACATGAAACTAAAGAGAAATTTGAAAAATCCACTCCACTGAAAAAAATCCAAACTATATATGGTAATTTTTCAAGTAGCTAAAAATGTACATGTAATTTTATGGAAAGGCTCTTTTCATTTTTTTATTGTTATCAATATCTTAATGACATTATAAAAATCATAAATTCAAGAACAATTCTAACAGTATTAATATCAATCCATTAGATTGGCTGACAAAAATTTGGCTGAGGGCTAAGTGACGGGAATAGACCATCATGGAAAAACGATAGGGATGACTTGCCATGAGTGTAAAAAGCTCTTGGAGGAAAAATGGTATTTTGGAAGGGGCTCTTGCATTATTTACAAGGGGAAATGAGTGTGGAATGTCCCATCCATGAGCCATGGGAGGATGCTATATTCATGCTCAGGATCCTATTCCTGCTCCCTGTAACTGGCAGTGCAAGGTGTGTTACAAAAAAAATAAAAAATGACTCAGATACAAAAATTTTACTTATCTTTATTGCATAATAAATAGACTAATAATAGCTTACCCAGAGATCTGATATGGGGTGTGTAAGGAAAAAAGTCTATTACCATATTGATACAGTATATCTAATAACAAATATAGACCTTGAAAAATGGAGGACAGAGAAGAAAAATAACACATAAGCAGAAAATGAGATAATAACATTGCAAAGGTCAGGCAAGGAGTCTCAATACTGCACACGAGTGTCAGGCATTCCCCGTTCAAACTTGCAAATAAAGCCCTCTTCTTTGAAACTACTTAAAATGTGGTTTAGAAATATTGCTACACTGGTTTCTAAAAATTAACCATCTAGAGATGGCACAGCTCCGTGGTAAAGCACTGACTTTGCAATTACAAGGTCCTGGGTTTGTGCCCAGTTGCCCCTCTCAGTTGACTCTGGGTACTGGCATGCTGACTTCAACATGCTGGGGTCAAAGTCTGAGGGAAAAGGAACTGGCCACCCTACAGCATCATCCTGTGGCTTTGTGTTACTCTATGAACTTAGTCCTCAATATCTACTTAGACCTGGGACCAACTTTGCTTAATATCAGTAGCTCATTCTAAGTCTTACACTCTGTGCCAATTCACAGTGCATAATGTGGTGGAGTGTTAAAAAAAATACCATCATACCTCTTAGAATGAAGCTTCATCTAAAATATTTGTGAAGACATGAAAAAAACAGTCCTTTAAATGCTAAGTAATTGTAAGCACAAAGCCATTTAAAAAGTTATTCACATACCTACAAAAAAGGACCAGTATGAAAAAAAGTAATATGAAGTATCTGGTGGTAAAGGGGCAACATAACTATAACCTTGTTTCAAGTAATTGTATCTAAAGTTTAGCTATTATGTTCTCACTTTTCTCTTGTCTTGTGTAGTTACTGTTATTGTTAATTTTATTTGGTTGGCCTAGCTAAATAATATGAGGAAAAAAATATATATATTAAAAAAAATATGTATATTAATTTTACTGAATTTCTGTACACCAATTTGAAAATTAGTTATGGTTATTGGAATTTCTGATATTCATATCTATTTTTTAGGTCTATGTTGTTCTCCTAAATTATGGTATGAATCATTTAACTTTAAATTCTATTGCACAATATTCCCCTCCCCCCAATTTATTTGCATTATTATTCAAAGATGATCATCTAATTAACTGCAATGAACACTTGCAGAGCCACTACATGACATCAAGGAATTCTTGTTACTACATGTTGGTATTGTTCCCTTGATTCTCTTGTTAAAGAGTCAGAGAAGCTTGCACTGTATTTGGGAGTCTGAGAAAATAAGTTCGGCAATGTCAACCCTTTACTTCCGGACACCTCATATGATGACTGAACATCAATACTTTTCAAGGTATCTAAATGTTCATGAAATATCCTCACAATCACTGGGAAGGGGAGGGGGAAGAAGGGATCTCCCAGTGCGACATCGAACAATGAGTTTGGGTGCATGTATAGTCAGCTACTCGAGGGAAAAAACAGAAGCATGGGACTAACTACTCTGCTCTCTATGCCCCTGGCTATGGCATAAATTTTTTTTTTAGATAACAAGGCTAAAAAAAGGGTTTTAGGTCTACTTTTGAGGGGCTATTTCTCCTCAACTACTGCAGCCATGGCCAAACAAGCACAAAACTGTTTAGTGTGCACAACTTTGAGGAGGCTCAACACATGACACACAGGCACCATCCCAGTGTGATAGGACATTATCCTGGTGTGAATGAAAATGAATAACACGTAAATATGCTCTCAATAGTTCTTCTTATATATCCATCATCTTATAAACCAACCTTAGGAATCCATTCTTTAAACTACTATTTTAGCTTCAAAGGATTCCTAGCTAAGATTTTGGGTTTTTGTAATAATTGGTGTGGGGAAAAAAGTCAACCATCTGCAACAGTACAGCTGATAAAGAGGAATAACACCTTATATACTTCATAAGGGTGATTTCAGAATCATTGTTGAGGCATTATTGTAGCGTTTTGCAGTATGGTTGGTATTGCCTTCTAAAAAATTATTCTAAACAAAATGAATATTACAAACCTGGATCATTGTGAGAGTGTGGAATAACAAAGACTTTTAGTTTCTTATCAGGTGTCCATTGTGATTCGTCATACTGGATATTCCACCCTTGTTTCCAAGCGCCACCATCAGGGTTGTCGAATTTCAGAATGTTGTAGACATCTTCCATCTGCAATAAGTGAAAACTTATTTTGATTAACAAGGCAATAAATGTTTGAAAGGAATAAATATCAAAAGGATCTATCAATGCAAATAATTAATAAATGCATTTGACTTAACATATGCATGACTTAATATACCATACCTGAATATCAACAGGTGATGCAGCTGCTTGTCCAAATATACAGTCATCTTGGGCAATGTTGGCAAAGGTCTTATTGTGATGTATAACAACAGAGGCACTCTTTTGGGGAACTTCCTGCCCATTTATATCATTCACATTCATTGCATTAAGACTATTCCTGAAAGACAGGGAAGTATTATTAAATTTCCTGCCACATACATACGCCATTTTCAGTGCCTTTTTAGGTACCATATGTTGATTTATATTGATGTATTCACAGAAAGTAATGCATAGGTTTGTAATAAAGAATTTCTGAAAACATAAGGTTTGACTGTCTTTCATAGTGAAAACTGACAAAATGTACTCAATGATTTGAAGAACCATTATTAATTTAACTTTCAAAGCTACTTATGTTGCATTTCTATTTTTTTAATGTATTCTTATTTATATTTCTCAAAAAAAGGAAAGGAAAGGAAAGGAAAGTGGAAGGAGTATCTCCTGACTACTATCATTCTGAATGTTATGAGACTAGTCCGATCTTCACCCATCAAAAATGAAGACCTCCTCCTTACAATTTATCCCATATGCCTACCCCCCCCTCCACACACACAAAGAGTTGAAGAAAGTGCTTTTTTAGCTGGGATGACAAAGTCTGAAGGGATTACAAATGAGTATACCTGAAGACAATACTGGTAGGATGGATTGGAGACAGACAGAGAGAGAGACGGAGAGACAGAGGGGGGGAGGGAGGGGAAAGATCATGGTGGCTTGAGCATGTGCAGAGGTGATACACACTATATCAGGAAGAAAGATGCTGAGGATGGGGCCACTAGGCAAGAGAAGAGTAATACCAAAGGAGGTTTAGGGATATGGTAAGGGAAGACATGCAGGGTGGATGGGGCAAAAGACCATAATACTGTACCTTGCAAATTTGTTTGGTAAACTAATAGAATCACTTGGTCCTAGAAGACCATTTGCCTTGATATTGGCACTGCCTAATTGTCGGACCAAATCTTTGATCTCTTGGATGGTGTGATGATTTGATTGTATATCATTTTCCAGTCTATGCAAGCGAGACTCGAGAGAGCGCATTTCCTAAAGGAAAATAACATGTATGATAAGTGAAACTTGAATAAATAATTACATGCAAAATATTTTTTCACAGATTAATATAAAACATTAAATTCCTAAAATCATATTAGCACTCTACACACATGGATATCTAATGGGTAATTTTTTACAGTACGGATGCACTCGACTGGGAAGCACTGTCTTCACCCCAGTATACACAGCATGATAGAGCTGAAACTCAGGAGCACCGAGTGGACTTAGGCTGTGGGCAGCACATTACAGTTTCTGTCTGCAGATTTTTTCCTGTACTAATGACTACAACTTTTAGTCCTTTACAAGAATACCATCTTCAATTTGCCTTACCTTAGTGCATCCATACTGTAAAGATGAACCCTCTAATGATTTCCCATACCTTTGCATCTCCTGGAGGATGTGTTTCTGGAGGTAAGCTTAAGACCTGGTAGAGCAGCACAAGTGTTGCAAGGCTCACTGCACCTCCAAACACTAAGGAAGATGCTCGCAGACGCATCCTGAAACAAAGACGTTGCATTCTAAATCCTCTAGTAAGCAGGTCAGCAAACATTTTCGTATATTCTAGGTACATGAACTGTCCACTGTTTTCCTTTGCTAATAACATTTACACAGATAACTCCACCAGCTACCTAATGGCCAACCTAATCATACTTGTTTACCCCATTCTGTGAGTTCTCAGAAGAAAGTCTATTATCATTCATATTATCATTACTGTTACTATTATCAAAACTTTGATCATCATTCTTATAATATTATCAACTATAATAACAGTTAGAAAACATAAACTTTCCTTCCCAAAAATGCAAGGAATGGAGTAAACAGTTGAGGTTGGGTGGGCCTAGGATTTGGCATCTTAGTGTGCTTCTGGAGCCATCTATGTTCAAACAAAACTAATAAAACAAAGCCACAGTGGAATGTACACTCCTGGTATCAATAAGAAATAGATACTTCTCAAATTTCTACTTCATATTGATTGATTGATTTTTTCAATCATTAGCTTAGGTGTACAGAACACTTGATATAATTTTTTCATTTTTAATCGTCCATAATATTCCCCCACAGTGAATGAAAATTAAAAGATGCAGTTTAAGGGTTCCTTTTACCTTACTATAAATTGTGACAACGAGAATAAGGCCAACTTGGAAAAAAACAAAACAAAAAAAAACTAACATCTTTAGATAAGAAACACAAGGACAAGAAAAGAGTAATGGACTAATTAGTGGACATTAACTAAATGTATAAACAATGTAGATGAATTAAAAAGATGGATAGTGTTTAATAAAATTAATAGTGGCATTACTTTTTCTTATTACTTACCGGTACAGCATTTTCGTATTTTTCCATAAAATTTGATTTACACCTGAAAATTACAAGTAATTAGTGATAAATTTGCTCTACAGCATAATAAAAAAAAATCAGAGGAAAGATAAAATCCTTTTTGTGGTAAATAAAGATAAAAAGTATGGGGCTATACAGAATTTGCAAATTATAAGTGTTATTTAGCTCCATTAACTACATGCTGCTGGGGAAAATGAAAAGAAAAATGGGGAAAATGTTGTGCAAATGTTTTATATTTTTGTGAAATCTCTCTGCACATGCTCTGCTAATACTTAGTGACAAAAGAGTTAATTTCACCTTTCCTTGAATTGGCGGGAAGAACGTATTTTTTACTGGTATTATGTATATTGATTATGTTATTTTTATGATAAACATTATATATCACCATAATGTTATAAACATTAGTAACAGCAATTTAAGATAACGTAAAATATTTTTGTAAATCAAGGAGAAAGGTAAACGGGCGAGACTGGCAGTACTCGTAATTGGCTCATTGGTGACTTAGTACAAGTGTAGCCATCTATGAGTAAAAACAATTAAACAAGTAAACTCACAGTGGGCATGGCATGTTCGTACATGCCATGCCCATCAGTATTGGGTTAAGGAACTAAATGGAATTTGCAAAGTATAAGTGTCACAAGTAAGTTTGATTCACAATGAATGATCATAAAAGGAGCCTCTTTCAAAATGTTTTGCAAATTCTTTTATGGCCCTGTCTTATTTCTGTACAAGTGTATGCAAAATTATTATCCTGTAATGTGCAATTTCTTCACACAAAACTGGTGTTAAGATAAACCTATAAAAAATACATTATAGAATTATTCATGCCAAAAATAAGAAAATTCATCTATTTGCCTTAATAAGGAAGACAAAACGGACAATATGTAGTATAAGGTAGTAGCAGAGTTGGGTAATAAAACCTACATGAAATGATAGAACAATGCAAATGCTTCCCAAGGGTGCTATACGTAAAAGAAAAGAGATCCCCAATTTTCGTTAAGTTGCTCATCTTGTTTACATTGCGAAGGTGAATTCTAGACGCATATACTACCACGGGGGTCCAGGAGTCATAGTCCCCTAGCTAGGCATATATATTACTACGGGGGTACAGGGGGCAAAGACCCCTGGCTAGGGAATAGATACCACGATGTTAGGTTAGGTTGGGTGTTGGGTTATGACATTTTGTTTAACCACCACAGGGGTCCTGTTTTGCCCCATAATTTCCCTGATATACTTCATGCCCTCCCCTGCTATCGGGACTATCAAATCAAGATTGTCGATGAGTTGGTGATCATATCTCCTCAACGATTTATTTGCACATGGAACAATGCCTAGAAAGCAGTGGATTTCATGCAGAAAATTATCAAAATTGTTTCGAAAGTAACCCACTACCCTCTTCTACATATTGACCAGGGGGGGGGGGGAATCTTCTCTTTTCTTTTATGTATAGCCCCCTTGGGAAGCATTTGCACACATATTGCCATAGAAGAACTTTGTCTTGGTTTGTATTGCTCTATCATTTCATGTAGGTTTTAGGAACTCTGCCACTACCTTATACTACATATTGACCGCAAATTCTTTTATGGCCCTGTCTTATTTCTGTACAAGTGTGTGCAAAATTATCAACTTGTAATGTGCAATTCCTTCACACAAAACTTGTACAGTTTTCAATCTGGTGTTAAGATAAACCTATAAAAAAAAGTCCATTATAGAATTATTCATGCCAAACATAAGAAAATTCATCTATTTGCCTCAATAAGGAAGGCAAAACCAATCTAAAGCAAACCAAAGGCTAAACATATTCTCACTACGTATGCAAATTGGGGCTAATGTATGCATGCCACAAACAAACCACAAATGCAACTGCATACGTATCAATGCATAGCAAAATTACTAACATTTTCGTAAAAGTAATACACATTGAAAGAAAATATCCACAACAAAGACAAAAAAAAAAACAAGCAGCAAACCTAAGCATCAACCATCAAGAAAATTTTACGAATATTGAAAAAGGGAAACACCATATTATACCTCTTATCGCACACACCATACTTCTAACCACACTTTTCACTACCACATCAAAGTCTTAACCCTCCACTAATCCTACCTGACTTATGAATTAGTGACACCAAAATATATTCTTTCACACAGAAAACATAATCGGAAAAATGCCAGCCGCTGCTCCTCCTCCAACCAAAACATCACAGCTG